TTCCGCTGTGGTTGGGTGGAACACTCTGTGTATGTCTACCAAGTCCATTTGTTCCAAACTCTGGTTCAGTTGTGCTACTTCTTTGCTAATTTTTTTGTCTGGTTTATCTGTCTTTTGGGGATAAGGGGCTTCTAAGGTCTCATGTTAAGATTGTTGTATTGGATATTAGATTTTTCATGTCTATTAAGGTTTGTCTTATATAATTGGGTGCTCCCGTGTTTGATGCACACATATTTATGAGTGTTATTTCTTCCTCTTGAATTTTTCCACTAGCATATAGTGGCCTTTTTTTATTTCGTTTGATCATTCTTGGCTTGAAGTTGAGACTATATGAGAACAAGATTGCCACCCCTGCTTTTTTCTGAAGTGCTGGGGCATGTAGTATTGTTTTCCACCCTTTGACTTTCAGCCTATGAGTTTCTTAATGAGTTAAGTGTGTTTCTTGTGTACAACATATTGTTGGATTTTGTTTCCTAATCCACTGTACCAATCTATTTCTTTTAATTGGTGAATTGAGTCCATTTACATTGATGGTTGTAATTGAGATGTGTTGACTTATGATTGATATATTATTTAAATGCTGTTTTTTAACTCTCTTTTCTCCTGTGTTTAATTGTTTGTCCTATTTAGTGGGTTTCTTCTGTTCTCTTTGGAGTTCTGATCATTTTGGTTCCTCTCTAGAACATCTTTCAGGGGCTGGGGAGATGGCTCAGTAGAACAAGCACTTGCCTGGCAAGTGCAAGGGCCTGAGTTCAATTCCCAGTTCCGAAAAAAAAAGATCTAGAACATCTTTCAGTAGCCTGTGTAGGGTTGGCTTTGCCATCATGAAATTCTTTAGTTGTTCTTTGTCATGAAAGTATTTCACTTCTCCATCAAACTTGAAAGAGAGTTTTGCAGGGTATAGTAGTCTGGGCTGGAATTTGTTTTCATAGACGACTTGAAGTACTCTGCTTCATGCTCTTCTTGCCTTCATGGTTTATGAAGAGAAGTTGGCCGTAATTCTGATGGGTTTTCCTTTGAATGTGATCTGCTTCTTTTCTCTAGCAGCTTTCAGTATGATATTCTTGTGCTGGATTTCTGGGATCTTGACTATTATATGTCTCGGTGTGTTTTTCATTGGGTTGAAGTTATTTGGAGTTCTGTGTGCTTCGGTTACCTGAATATCAGATTGTTTCCTCATATTTGGGAAGTTTTCTGCTATTACTTCTGCCCATATTCTTTTTATATCATTTGTATTGACTCCTTCTCTCTCATTGATGCCTATTAGTCTCACATTGTTCATCTTTGCATCGTCTTGCAGGTGATCAATTATTTTTTCCTGCATCCTAGTTGTTTTTAAAAGATCTTCATTTACCTTTTTCACTAGCTGCACCAGCGTCTTCAAGATCTCAAACTCTGTCTTCACTTTTACTCAAACGGTTTTGCAGGCTTGTGATTGAGATTTTAAGCTCCTCTACATCTCTTTGACTCTGCTTCATGTGATCTATTTCTTTCCTGTATTGCTCATTCAATGAATCCATCATTTTTTAATCTCCTGTAATTTTTTTATCAGTGTCTTCTTTAGAAGCAGTGATAAATTCCTTTACTGCAGAGTTTTTTTACAGATTGGGTTTCCTCTGTATGTTTCTGTATTTGATTCTTTAGTTCAGATACTATGAATTCAGAGATTTCCTTTTTCATTTTAGACACCAGTTCTGCTTTGAGTTCCTTTAAACCT